TTTTCTCCTATATAAATAATTATTATTATTATTATTTTTATACTATTAAATCAGTAAAAAAAAAAAATTGGGAGTTGAATAAACCTAGTTGGAGTAGTTTTCTAAAATTTTTTTTTTTTTTTTTTTTAAATAACCATAAATTATTGAAGATGGTGGCTTTTGTTTTTTGTTTTTTTCTCCTAAAAAATTACAAGTTATTGAACAACTTTTAGCAAGAAGTATTTAAGTAGAATATAATAATAATAATAATAATAATAATAATAATAATAATTTAACTAGGTTTATAATTGATAATCATTCATAAAAAAAAAAAAAAAAAGAAAGTATGACCCAGTGGGAATTGTGGTTTTTTTTTTTAAAAATATATGTAAAAAATTTTTATTGTTTTGTTTGTTTGTTTGTTTGTTGTTGTTGTTTTTTATTTAAAAAAAATTATTATTATTATTATTATTTATTTACCTTGTGCGGTAAAAATATCACCTTTGTGATGTCTTGTTATGGACGTTGATAAATGACCGCTACTTAAATAAGCTTCGGTTAAATAAATAAAATAAAAAAATGTTATTTTATTTGTTCCCATAATTGTATTTTTAATTGAAAATAATATTTTAAATTTTTTAGCATGTTTAGAGTACCTGTAAGAAAAAAAAAAAAAAAATCACACATATTACTATTTGAAAATTTAATAATAATAATAACCAGTTATAAAAAAAAATTAAAAATATCAACACGACCGGTAATCAAAATCAATAAACTGTTTCCGGAAGTTAAAAAAAAAAAAATTATTTATATTTATTTTACTACTGATAACTTTCTTAATGTTTTACTTTCAACACATTGTAAATAAATAAATAATTATTAACGTGTTTAAAAATTTAATAAAATTGCAAAAAAAGTAATATTTTTTATTTGTACTACCACTACATAATAATAATATAATTTATTTAATAATTTGTGGGTAATTCGAATTTAGAGAGTTATTATTATTATTATTATTATTAGGATTATGTGAAAGTAAAAATAAATAAATAAAAAAAATTCCATGAGAATAAATATTTATTTATTTATTTATATTTTTTTTTTTACATAATTTAAAATGTAATAATATTATGTATAACAACAAAGTGAAAACAACAAATTATTATTATTATATTTTTAATTCACATAATTTATTTATTGTAAGAAAAAAAAATTAGAAAATCATTTGGAAAAAAAAATTTTCCTTAATAATTAATATCGATCGTTATAAAGGAAAAGGTTTAGTAATTAAATAGTCTTCAAAAAAGTTTCAACTTCCGGTTTAATGGCGGAAACGTACATGGGATGAAGGAAAAAAAAAAAATTTTAAATTAAATTGTTAGCGGTTGTGTGTGTTTTGTCAAAATCTGTTAATTTAAAAAAAAAATGACCGTTGGAAATTATTAATCCTTCAATCATTATTATTATTATTATTATTATTATTATTATTATCTATTAATAATTACCATGAAATAAAATGACACATTTTTCTTTCCCCCTCCCCCCCATAAAATTTTAAATAATAAATAATTATTAATTTATTTGTTTTAATTTTACTTTCATTTTTCTTTTTTTTTTTTGGGAAATCCACGTAATAATAATAATAATAATAATATTCTGATATTTTTCTAGAAATTTCTTTTTTTTAATTTCAGGGATTCACCTAAAAAAAACTTTACTGGAATTTGGAAAAACGGTTATTTTCAACAAAAAAAAAAAAAAACAAGGTCAATAATGGTGGAATACTCATCACATAAAAAAAAAGGTAAGAAAAATAAATTTTTAATTTTTTTATTTTTAAAAAATTAATGCACGATTTCGAATATGAAATTAATAATAATAATAATAATAATAATAATAATAATAATAATAATAATAATAATAATAATAGTACCTATTCCTGGAAGGCATTTAAAAAAAGAGTTTAAGAGGAAGTTTTTAAAAAAAAAAAAAAAAAAAAAAAATTTTTATTATGGTTTAATGTGTCAGATGGGAAGCTGGGAAAAAGAAAACGCGATAATATTTATTTATTTAATTAAAAATAATAATAAAAAAATAGATACGAGTAGTAAAAAAAATTTTTTTTTCTATCAATAATAATAATAATAATAATTTTTTAATTTAACCGATAAAAAAAAAAAAAAATATTTGAGTTTTTTTTATTCTTCAAAGAAGAATAAGATGAAGAAGAAGAAGAAGAAGTACAAGTTCATCGAACTATCAAATATGTGCCATAAAGTTTTAATTTGATTTTTTTTTAACTTGACCGTTTTAATTCAAACAGGTTTGAGATATCTTCACGCGAATATATATATGTACGTTTGAGTTTATTTATTATGTTTTTTTTTTTTTTTTTTCTTCAAATTTTCTTTTTTTTTTTTCGGATGTTTTGTATGTTGTTCAATCTTCTTTCTATTCTACTTTCACTGCCCCCCCAAGTTGTTTACTACCTGTATACCTACGCGGATATATTATTTTTTGCAAAATTTTTTTTTTTTTTTATTTTTTTGCTGGCTCCTGTTAAAAATTTATTTAAATAGTTTAAAAAATTATTTTTTTTTTTTTTTTTTTAATTAACGGATGAAAAATTTTGAGCCATTTAAACTATTTGTAAAAATAAGGGTAAATAAATTGTTTTTGTTTCTCTCTCTCTCTCTCTCTCTCTTTCTCTCTCCTTGAGCATAAAACCGGAAAAAAAAATTTGTTGTTGTTGTTGTTGTTGTTTGTTTGTTTGTTTACATTTTTTTTTTATTTTGAATTTTTTAAATTTCACCTTTTTTTTTCCTGATTGGGCGTTAAATATTTTTAAAAAAAACGAACTGTACTTACCTGTTTTTTTTTTTTTTTTTTTTTTTCTATTTAAAACGTACGTGTCGTGTAAAAAAAAAAATTATTAACGTAAATAAAATAACATTTTTTTATTTTTAATAATAATAATAATAATAATAATAATAATAATAATAATAATAATAATAATAATAATAATAATAATAATCACGATAAAAAAATTAACATTTTTTCCTCCCGTTAAAAAAAATTTTTAATTTATTTTTTTTTGTTATTTATTATCTTTTTCATTTTTTTTATAAATAAATAAATAAATAAATTTATTAACGATATTTTCATTTTAAATAAATTTTTATCGATAGTATTATTTTATTTATTTATTTAAATAATTCAAGGTTTAATAATAAAATTTTTTTTTTTTTTTGTTACGAAGGTAAATAAGCATTAATAATGGAATAGTAAATAATGTATTAATTGTTTTAAAATCATTTAATAAAATTTTATTATTATTAATGTCGGTTAGGATGACAATGAAAGGTTATTATTATTATTATTATTATTATTATTATTATTATTATTATTATTATTATTATTAAAAAAAGCAACATTTTTTTTTTTTTAAATGTAACCGTTAAATTAATAATAATACAACAATTGATAAATAAATAAATAATTTATCGATTAGTTAATGTGACATCAAGTTTATTATTTTACATTAAAATAATTATTTAATAATAATAATAATAATAATATTATTATTATGTGTGGTTACTTTTCATCCCGAGATTTTTTCTTTTTACTTTTAATAATATATATTATTATTATAGGAAAGTTTTTATTTAGAAAGCATATTTATTAAAATTTTTATAATAAAATTTGAAACTTTACGGGTATTGTTTAAAAAAATTTTTTTTATTAATAATTAAATGATACGTTTAAATTTATTCTAGAAAAAATAAGAAGAATGATTTGAAATTTTCATAACGTATTCATTCATAAACAAAAAATCACGTATTACCTTTTTATTTTTTTTTTTTTTTTTTAATAAAAATTTTTAATGGTTTGGATAAACGATTTATAAAACTTTTTTTTTTTTTTGACCGCCATTTTTATATAAATAAATACTTTAAAAAAAATTTAAATGTGTTGCGTTTATTTTAATAAAATTAATTATTTATATCGGATGCGATTTAATCTAAGTAAAAAAAAATATACATAAATTTTTATTTTGGGGGGAAAAAAACTGGAAAATTAGGAATTTTTTTAAACGATGATGAATTTACCACCATTACTTATTAAGTACGATGAAGTCGTAACGAAAAATAATTTTTTTTTTTTTTGTCTGTT